AAACCGGTTTGGCTTAGTGGATAGAGCATCGGCCTGCGGACTGAAAGGTCCCAGGTTCAATTCCGGTCAAGGGCATGTACCTTGGTTGCGGGCATATCCTCAGTGGGGGGTGTGCAAGAGGCAGCTGATCGATGACTCTCTCTCTCATCGATGTTTCTAACTCTCTATCCCTCTCTCTTCCTCTCTGTAAAAAAATCAATAAAAATATATTTAAAAAAAAGAAAAAAGAAAATCAGTAACGGAGAGGCACAAAGTAACATTAGCTTGCTGGATGCTGAGGAAGTGTGATGAGCAAGAAATCCCAGTGAAGGACCAGTTTCCTTTATTCCAGCTCATTGTCACTGACTTTGGCTCTGGAAAGTGGACTTTCCTCAAGTCCTGCTCCGCGTTTCAGCAAGATCAGGAAGTCGACGCCCTGCCTGGGTTCTTGGAGAGAAGTGTGGGCCGTGGGGTTCTGAGGAAACACGCTCATGACCCACTTCCCTTACGGCTTGTGTAAAAGTCAGGGCCCTTTGTGAGCAGAAATTGCAGAAGAGCTCCTGGGAGCCGGAGCTACTGGCTTAATTGCTAGGTGAGCCTGGAATACCATAGTAGTGTGGACACTGCTCTTTATTAGAGAGAAAAGCTACAGTTAACAGACAGTCAATCTGCGGGCTCATGTTTAAGTTCTTTATTCCAAACCAAACTGCAGCACTTCCTGCAGGATTTTCCAAGAGTGAAGACCCCAGCAGTAATTCCCGCCCTTTTTTTGCTTTCTCTTTAATAGAGTCTTTCTTTTCTGACTCTTCAGAATTCTCTGGTTTTGGAAATGCCAGAATGGCGTTCGCATATTATAGATTCAATTGCATGGGGAGAGTTTTCTTACATTTGATTGTCTCTCTAGATATAAATTATTCGTCTAAGAAAAAGAAATACATTTTCCAGGCAAGTAAGGAAGGTCTTTATCTAAATAGATGTTGTTCTTTAATGTTGTATTTATTTATTTAAGTTCTAAGGTGGCTGACCTTGATTTCAAAAGGACATTGGTTGCCCTGGCCAGTTTGGCTCAGTGGATAGAGCATCGGCCCACAAACTGAATGGTAGCAGGTTCAGTTCCCGTGAAGAGCACACACTTCAGTTGTAGGCTGGATTCCTGGGCCCATTGGTGCAGGAGGCAAACAATTAATGTGTTTCTCTTCCTCTCTCTCTCTCTCTCTCTCTCTCTCTCTCTCTCTCTCTCTCTCTCTCTCTCTTTCACTCAAAATCAACAGAAAAAAATATTTTCAGGTGAGGATTGACAACAAAAAAGGATCATTGGTTATAATCCTTAAAAAAAAAAAAAAAGAGATCTGATGGTTATGAATTGACAAAATCAAAACAGGACACACCGAATTTTTGGAAGAGTACGCGCTGTTGGTTTAAATGTGTTTATAATCAGCCCATCGACTGTTCACAATGGCATTCTGTGTTCAATATCATTGCACACTAAATGAGTCACCCAGCGAGGTTCCTGACAAAAATAATGATCTCCTTTCAAATTTGTTTACAACCTCAGCAAGATAGGTAGTTCTGAACGAATAAGATACATCATTTCTAAATGAAGTAGTTCACACTTTCAGATTTCAAAGTGTGAGGTTTGATATTAGTATAAAATGAGCCTGAATTAGGGGTCAAGTTGCTGACCCTGGTCCTTGGCCTCCCAATGACAGAATGACTTTGGGCCACCATGTCAGCCCTTTGAGCCTCAGTCACCTCACCTCTAAAAGTGGGAATATTTACTTTTCTCTGTCAATTTTGTAAGATTATTACCAGACTCAGAATAGCTAAGATATGTGAAAGTGCTTTGTAAACTGTAAAGCGCCACACGAACGCAGGCTGCAATTATGCTGATGGGCTCTCCTAATGTGTCACCGCACAACCCACGCGGCCATCCGAGGCGTGTGGGAAACGCAGGACGTGAAGGGAAATCGGCTTTGTTCCTCAGATCGTTCTGGTCACGTTGGAAAAGGAACTGAGTGTGCTTGAGCAGAGAGACTTTATAAAAAATAAATGTTAAATTTTGGAAATGTCATTTTTATGTGAATTTCTGGTTGCCTTTAATAAACACATCTTAGTTTGATTTGGAGTTATGATAATAAGCCACTTTATCAGGCCAACGGCACAGATTTGGCTAGTTCTAATCATCGAAACTACCCTTGTTTCTTATGGACCTGTGTGTGCACATATATGTAGGGAATCACGTGAGAATCAATCTAGACCAATAGTTCTCAACCAGACAGAGTCTGCCTCTTCCTCACATCCCCCAGTGACATTTGGCAAAGCCTGAAGACACCTCTATTATCACAATCGGTGGGGAGGTTGGGGGTGCTGCTGACTGTGCATTAAAGCCAGGCAGGGATGCTGCTAAACATCCTACAATGCACAACTCCCCCCAAAAAACAAAACAAGACAACAACCAAAAAACACAAAGCATCCGACCTGAAATGTCAGCCGTGCCAAGGTTAGGAATTAGCCCCTACACAAGGGGGATATTTAAAAGAAGTAAAGATATTTGTCAAGTTATTGCTGGGTCTTTGGTATGTTGCCCAGGGGTGGATGTTTATGCAATAAAAGGAACTAAGCTCTCTGTCCAGCTTGAAGTTCGAGATTGTTTTCTACCAGTGTCCAAAGTGATCCTAGGAGAGGCTTTATTTTCTTGACTTAAGTAATGTCCTTTCTTTTCCTTTTCTGTAACAACTCTTCTCTCCAGCTCCCCGGGGGGTAGCAGCAGCCTCCTAGGCAGTGACAGCCTTTTGGGGAAGGAAGCACAGGCAGAAGACCAGCCATCTTTCGCTTTCAAAGGTACATTCCTATAGGAAACACAGTGAGTGGAAGCCCTGGGAGAGTCACGGGACCTCTCAGTCAGGGGTTCCCCACCTTGGAAGATGGACACAGTGCTTCCAAATACGTTTGAGAATGCCCAGGTTATAAAAGAGGTGTGCAAGAAACAAATACCGTGTGTATTTATTCTCCACGCCCGTGCAGAGCAGGCACACCTGGAGTCCTAGAGGAGCTGTGTCTGAGTTTTTACCAAAACACCTAATATTTTACGTTTTTAGGACCTATCGAATACTTTACGTTTTTAGTCACCATTTGTTGGATCCCTTGTCATTTTTTAAAATAATTGAGCCCGGCTGGCGTGGCTTAGTAGTTGAGTGTCGATCTATGAACCAGGAGGTCAGAGTCCACACCTGGGTTGCAGATTTAATCTCCAGGATTTTCTCTCATCATTGATGCTTCTATCTCTCCCTCTCCCTTCCTCTCTGAAATCAATAATAATATATATGGAAAAAGAAAATAATCGAGTAAATATCATGAGTGAGCAACTCAAGGAAAACAGATTCTAATTTTTTTTTTTTTTTTTTTACAGAGAGGAAGGGAGAGAGAGTTAGAAACGTCGATGAGAGGGAAACATCGACCAGCTGCCTCTTGCACACCCCCTACTGCGGGGGATGTGCCCGCAACCAATGTACATGCCCTTGACCAGAATCGAACCTGGGACCTTTCAGTCCGCAGGCCGACGCTCTACCACTGAGCCAAACCGGTCTCAGCCAGATTCTGACTGTTTAAGGTCCAAGTAGGTAATTTTGACCATAGCATGGGTGATCCTGAGTCAAGAAAACTCACCCAGGCCTCAGGATTGGGAATCGCCCTCCGCCCCTCAGTGCCGGAGTGTCTGCCGTGGGAGCAGGTATCAAACCCCCTGGCAGTCACAGGGAGGAGCAGGAGAAGGTAGGAATGGTGTGTCAAGCAAGGCCAACCCCTGAGGCAGCTTTGGGCAAGGCACACCCCGAAATATTTTCCTCCACATTGCCCAACTTTTTAAAAAAAACTTTAATCTGTTATAATGCCAAATATCTCACTTGGAACAACATGTACTTTTTCAAAACAGCAAGCGTTTTGTGCCTGCCTGACTTTTTCATTGCTCCACATCCAAGGCTTAGCTCAAACAACACCCCCACTTGCTTCTAAGAGCCTGGTTGTGACTTCCCAAAGCACCGTCTGGCTCATGGCATGGGTGTTTGTGATCCCTCCGGCCTGTGGAGCCTTTGATCTCACAGGTCTTGGCCTATCCATCTTCACACCCAGACAGAAGCCTGCACCACGCCCGTGCAGAGCAGGCACAAATGTGTGCACAAGAAGGAGCCAATAGCCGAAACCGGTTTGGCTCAGTGGATAGAGCATCAGCCTGCGGACTGAAAGGTCCCAGGTTCGATTCCGGTCAAGAGCAGTACATTGGTTGCGGGTACATCCCCAGTAGGGGGTGTGCAGGAGGCAGCTGGTCGATGTTTCTCTCATTGATGATTCTAGCTCTCTATCCCTCTCCCTTCCTCTCTGTAAAAAAATCAATAAAATATATTTTTAAAAAAAAAAAAAAAAGAAGGAACCAATAATCGGCAGAACTATATCTGAAGGGCATGTCTTTCAAATCCTAAGAATCAACCACCTCTGCTTTCTTCCTAAAACCCGGAAGAGGGCAGGGGCTGTCTGTGAGAACCAGGGGATGCGGGGGAGGTTGATATTAACATGCAGAGCCTTTGTAAGAGGTGGTGGGGAAGGAACACAGGAAGGACAGTGAAGGAGGACCAAAGGGAAGCCAGGACTGTGCGCATTCGTTACCCAGGAAAGGGGCAGAACATGTTCGCCCTCAATCTTCTCTCTCCTGCGCTGTATGGCCTGGCACTCCCAGGATTCAGAACACCTGCTAGTGTGATGGGAGCCAAAAGCTACAGGTTAAAGAGGGTTTGCTAACCCAGTTGGAGTGCATCTCCACGCTCTGATGAGACCCATTGTGGTTCCTGCTATTGATTTAGACGAATTTTGGAAACAGATTGCCTTGTGCTAGAAGAATGCCCGTAAATGGACTAGAATTACACAGCAAACTACTTGTGATGTTCAATTTAAATGGAAACTCATGAAATCTTTTCAGATCAAATCGTAACCTATCTTTCTTTTCTTTCTTTTTTTCTCCTCTCAGGAAAATGGACAGCTCTTGGGTAAGTGTTCTATGTCTGCTGTCTTACTTTCTAATCCCATGTAGGTGGAGAGTTTTGTTTTCAACACCAGACTTTCCCTTCTAACGCCTGGTGCCTTCCTCTGGCCTCACCTGTCTAATGAGGGCTTGTTGGCCAGAGTCATGTTTTTCCAGTAATAGATTTGGGAAGAAAGCCAGGTAGAGAGGCCTGGGCCTCACTAAGAGGAGCCCCTCAACCAAAGGCCTGGGACTGAAGTGGGTGGATTCCATGGGCCAGGAGCTGAGAAATAAGCCGACAATGGGAAGTGCGGTAAGTCTGAGCATCCTGATTTTTGTGATTATTTTTCTCATGTCAGTTAGAAAATACATGCTTTTACATTGAGGATGGATAGCTCTATTTTAGCAAGTTACAAAAATGCAACCCTGCACAATATGAGATGATGGGCAACATGTACTGATAAAGTGCATGTAATCCCAAAGTCTAATTTTAGTCTTGGGAATTCAAAACTATTTAAAAGATGGAAATTTTTTTTATGGATATGAGTTGTATATTATTTTCATATGTCCCTCCACTTTGGATGTCTTATTCCTGTTTTCCTGAAAATTCTGTTTTTGTGAATGTTTTTCACCCAGGAATTGTTTGTATCTTTTTTTCCAGCTTAATGATGCCAAAGCTGAGTCTGGGAACCCCAGCCCTCAAGGATGGCCCGGTCCATGGGGAAACCCACCTGCTGGGGCAGGAGGCTACCCAGGAGCTGCCTATCCTGGGACTTACCCCGGGCAGGCACCTCCTGCTGCCTACCCCGGGCTGACACCTCCTCATGTCTACCCCGGGCAGACACCTCCTGCCTCCTACCCCGGGCAGACACCTCCTGCCTCCTACCCCGGGCAGACACCTCCTACTGCCTACCCCGGGCAGACACCTCCTACTGCCTACCCCGGGCAGACACCTCCTGCCTCCTACCCTGGACAGACACCTCCTACTGCCTACCCCTGGCAGACACCTCCTACTGCCTACCCCGGGCAGACACCTCCTGCTGCCTACCCCGGACAGACACCTCCTGCCTCCTACTCTGGACAGGTACCTCCTCAATCCTCCCTTGACCCTCCACCACCTGCTTATCCCGGACAAAATACCCAAGACATCTTCCTTCCACAACCAAAGGGGCCTGAGGCCCCCACTGTTCCCCCTGCTGGAAGACTGGTAAGATGGAGTCAGTCATTTCATGCACTTGATTGTGACCAGGACAAAGCTAATGGAGAATACGGCCATTGTGTGTGCTGTGGTGCCATTAGCTGGTTCTGGGCACTCACCCCTGCAAAGCGCTGCAGGGAGACCTTTACTCTCACTGCTTAGGGCCATATTCTAGGACTAGCACAGTGTATGCTCATCCAATAGGAAAAAAAAAATCATTATTTGTATTGAGTTTAGCATGTGCAGTGTTGGCATAAAGAGAAGCTAATGCGTCTGTTGAAGGCATCTGTAAAGCAGCTTTAATAAAAATCAATTTAAGAGCATAGTAATGGGAGAAAGTTTTCAATATTAGTATTAATAAACACTATGTAGACAGCATGTCCAGCAGTGTTCTTCTACATGGATGATCTCATTTGAACCCATAACCACCTGATAAGATACTGTTATTATCCCCTTTCCAGATGAAGAAATGGGACAATAGCATTATATTAGCTTGCCCAGGACCATAGAGAGAACATGGGGGGAGAGGAACCAAGATAATCTAGTTTTAAAAAAACCTTCTAAAGATAATTTTGTCATTTAAGGATAGAATTTTCATTTATTTTAAAATGCATTTTAGTAAAGAAATTCTACACACGAAACCTTAAGTCTGTAGGGCTTTAGACACATCTCAGACACAGATCCTTCCCTTCTAGAGTTACAGTCCAGCTGGGAAGTAAGCAGATCTGAGGAAAGAGTTAAATAACCACCTGGGAGCAGATCCTTTCAGGAGTAGAGAGAAGGTGGCACAGGTGGCATCTGATCTGCTTTTAGGTCAACTTAGAGGAAAGTGCAGAGAAAGCGTTGAGGGTGTGGGTGGCATTGGGCAGGGTCTAGATCCAGATGGTTAGTCCACTGCAGATACAGGAGCACAAGGAGTCTATACAAAGGAAGAGGCAGTTGGGAGAGAGGCTACAGAGGAAGAACCTTTGGTCTGCTGGTTAAGTCTTAGGAGTCAGAAATGACTGGCTTTTCAAGATAGGATATCTAGGACACCAGGAAAAGGACTGGCTGGAGAGGAGGCAAGAGAGACAATTCCAGTTCATACCTGTTGAATCTGCAGCACCAGTAACAAATCCAGAAGGAGGAAGTACTGGGCTAGTACTGATCAGGGCTAGAGATAAAAGACTTGGATGATAGTTGGACCTGGGGGTAGGGAGAATTTAAAAGGGAAAAAAGAAGAGGCCAATGATGGAGATTTGGGGAATATTTACAGTACCTATTATTTGCAGAATGAACTAGAAAATGTATTAACTGGAAGATGTTATTCCACAAATATTGAGTATCTGCCACACACTAAGTACTCTGCTGATGCTGAGAGTAAAACATATGAGAACCCAGAAGCCCAAGAATGTGACATAATGAAATATGTTATGTGATAAGAGCCTTAAGAGTAGCACAAAATAGTTAATGTTGATTGCAAGGTCTAGCTTAAGCCCCTTCAAAAGATAGTCTAAAAAAAGAATGAGTTACAGATCGGAATGACCCTAGTAGTTAGAGCTACAGTGCTCCAAAAAGAACATAGTTCTGCCTTTGGCACCAATGAACTAATGGCTTAATTCTCAATTATTAGTTGTGCATGGAGGGAACTTACCTCTTCAGGTCCTGGGCAAAGTGGCCAAGAGCCTGACAGATGGCTTAACTTAAGGTTATATGTTAGTCACATGTATTAAGTGTTTGAGCATTAGCAACTTCTTTTTCTTTCTTTCCCAAGAAAACATGACTCTGTATTAATACACATATTTTTCATTCCCAGACTATGCCTTATGAAAATGTTTTCCCTGAAGGACTCATGCCCCACATGCTGATAACAGTGTTGGGTATAGTGAATCTCAATGCAAAGAGGTAAAGAGCAAACTTTAAATATCTAACACATTTGTTGATTGGTTTTTGAATAGAATTTCTAAAACTACACATTTAAGAGTCTTGGCTCTTCCATAGTATGGGATTACTCGATAAATCAATACGTGTTCCCACCAATGAGACAAGGTTTCCCTCGCCAAATCTTGGTTTTCTCCAAGAACCTGAATGGAACTGAGCTCTACATTGTGAGGAGAAAGAGGAAGAGCTGGGTTCCTCCTGGCAAGGGAAAACTTTAGCATTAATGGCCAGGAGAGTCTTTGTAATGTCATGTTTGGCCATCCCTTCACTCTGAAGCATATAGTGTCTGAAAAGCCAAGCATGCACTTTAGATAACCATAAAAAATGAGGATTCCAAAGCAAGAGGTCTCACATGTCATAGTGGTGAGTGGATCTGAAAGCTTGAATGGTATCCCACTGTGTCCTCACACTCATGCAAGCCTCCCTGCAGCACACAGGTCTCAGCTCTCGAGCTTGGCTGCCATGCCTGTCTTCACAGTGGGTGCCACTGCAGTCACAGATTCCCATGGTGTTGGCCTGGTCTACAGATGACAAGTGTCAGGGTGGAGAACCCTGCCTTCTGAGTACTCACTATTTATTTGAAAGGTTTGAAAAGATTGTTCAAGTTAAAGACTTCATCCAAAGAAGTCAACTTTTTCTTGCCGAAACCGGTTTGGCTCAGTGGATAGAGCGTCGGCCTGTGGACTGAAAGGTCCCGGGTTCGGTTCCGGTCAAGGGCATGTACATTGGTTGCGGGCACTTCCCCAGTTGGGGATGTGCAGGAGGCAGCTGGTCGAGGTCTCTCTCTCATCGATGTTTCTGGCTCTCTATCTCTCTCTCTTCCTCTCTGTAAAAAAATCAATAAAATATATTAAAAAAAAGGAAAAAAAAAGAAAAAGAAAAGTTTCAAAGAAGTCAACCTTTTCCATTGGAACTGGTTTGACTGAGGTGAGCTAGGAGGGATAAGACTTTAAGCTGCTTCAGAGAAATCCATGTTGACTTGTGGCTGCCCTGGGACGCCTGGCTCTGGTGATCAGCCCTGGCTAAGCTTACATATAATACAAACATATAATCATTCCTTGTCTTGAAATCTAAAACAAAACTGTACAAACCAAAGGCAAGGATAAGGATATCTATCCTGAAGCCCTCCAGTCTGCTGAGGTCAGTGGTACCACTAAGGCTCCTGCAGCCATTAATTAATGTCTCTGGGTCTTATAAGTAGTATACAAAGATACTGACTCAAGCTGTATACACAGGTCTATTCAAGGATCCACAGACAGCCTCTCTGAGTCTGTCACCTTGCTCCTGGTGAATCAACAGGAACCACTTCTTCTGTTACCAGGAGATGTACTGGCTTCTGATCTGTTCAAGTTACATTCAAATAGCTCATTCACTCCAACCTCTAGCCAGCTTCCTCTGGCTTCTACTCTCAAGCTTATCTTACAGAAAATTACAAAACATATATATCCTTTTGCCCATGCGCTTATCCATCTTTCCTCCCAATAAGTACACCGTATTCTGTGCATACAGCATTCACAATTTGTTAATTTTTTAAAAATATATCTTTATTGATTTCAGAGAGGAATTTAAGAGGGTGAGATAGAAACATCAGTGATGAGAGAATCATTGCTATACTGCCTCCTGTACACCCACTACTGGGGGTGGATGGAGCCCTTGACTGGAATAGAACCTGGGACCCATCAGTGTGCAGGCTGATGCTCTATCCCTGAGCCAAACCATCTAGGGCACAATTTGTTAAGTCCTGCCCCCTTCCTTCAACCCCTATCCCACAGAACTACACTGGTATCTCTGTCTTTATTTAGGCTTACTGTACTGGAAACTTAAACTCCAATTATATCAGAGATGTAGACTGAGACTGTGGTAGATCAAAACTAATTTTGGTTGAAATGGCCAAGGCGATAGGAAGCTGAAATAATTGTTGCTTGGTCCTGCACATTCCATGTAAGGAATGAGAAGACAAGGGAATGCTTAAGGTGGTAGAGACGACCATATCTTCAGCCATTGGATATTTGGTCAAATACTATTTCTATTGCCATTTGACTCTTTTGATCCTTTCCCTGTGAATACATCTATGGTTGGATCTGTCACTGGGTGAATCCAAATACCCAGGGAATTATTTTTATTTATTTTTTAAATGTATATTTTATTGATTTTTTTTTTTTTTTACAGAAAGGGAGAGAGCTAGAAATATTGATCAGCTGCCTCCTGCACTCCCCCCCCCCCCCCAAGGGATGTGTCTGCAACCATGACCTTAACCGGAATTGAACCCGGGACCTTTCAGTCTGCTGGCCGATGCTCTATTCACTGAGCCAACCTGGTTTCAGCGCCCAGGGAATTATTATTAGTGGGTCAGGAGTGCAGAGTCTGTTTTAAAACAAGAGTACTAGCAGATTCTGATGTTGGTGCTCTGTGGAGCACACTTTGAGAAATTGGGGGGTGGGGTTAGTACTTTAATAGTGAGGGGACTTGTGTTTGTGTTAACATCCAAGGAGAAGGAAAGAGGTCAAAAAGTTAAGCCAGCACTTGCATCAATTCCACTTCACATTATGGAAAGTTCAACACATCGTCATGATTTTACAAGTTAGCAACAGGACATTAAGTTCATAATCTCATTTGGTTTCAGGATTAGGTTTTTGGTTAACTAGGAGGAAGCCAGGAAGTTGACCTCTTATTTATATGACTGGCTTGCCATCAATAGGGATTAAAAGCAACCTGCAGGGCATGTCACCTGCAATGGAAAGCATAACCTGCCCTTAAAGTGGCTTCAAACCTCTATAAGGAAACCTTAAAGGGTTTTCATGAGTAGAAGGAAAAATAGGGGATTTACAAATGAAGGAATATGACCAAAGACAGCTGGGCAAAACAATTCAGCACGTACTGTTTTGTTTACTTCTAGTATTTTACTAATATTGGGCCTAATATATAATTTGAACACATATTCTGGTTTGTTTTCTGTTAAGAAAATTTTCCTGTATTCTTCTGTGTGTTCTTCATTGATGCAAATATAAAACTTGAATCATTTCACTAACTCTTGCCTTTGGTTTGTACAGTTTTGTTTTAGATTTCAAGACAAGGAATGATATCGCCTTCCACTTTAACCCACGTTTCAACAACAAAGTCATTGTTTGCAATACACACATAAATGGATGGGGACAAGAAGAAAGAACGGCGACTTTCCCATTTGAAGCTGGTAAACCATTCAAAGTAAGTTATTGCTATTGTTATGTATTGATAATGTGTATCGCTCATGGGAAAATCACTCTAAAATCATGATGCACTTTGAAGTGAATTTGGGGGAGCTATCCTGGGACACCTAATCAACTCCTTCCCATTCCAGGCGCCCATGATTATCAGTAGGCTGGAACAGCTCCTCACTGCTACCACCTCAGAATTTCAGCTTCTCTGGAAATGAGAAAAATAGCATATTTAATAAAAAAGGCAGAAAGTCTCAGAAGGACTGAGACTTAGTTCTTTAAAAAAACACAGTGACATAGAAACCAAAACAAATCATTTTTAAATTAAAAATTAACTTAAATTAGTTGACATTTAATATTATATTAGTTTCAGGTGTACGGCACAGTCAGAATATTTTAATCCTAAAATTAATAATGCTTAGGAAAATAAAAATATATAAACTTTAATTTTTTTAAATTTTATTTATTTTTTAATATATTTTATTGATTTTGTACAGAGAGGAAGGGAGAGAGATAGTCAGAAACATCAATGAGAGAGAGTCATCCATCAGCTGCCTCTTGCACACCCCCTACTGGGGATATGCCCGCAACCAAGGTACATGCCCTTGACCGGAATCGAACCTGGGACCTTTCAGTCCCCAAGCCGACACTCTATCCATTGAGCCAAACCGGTCCCGGCAAAAAAATATATAAACTTTTAAATTAACTATCCTTTACATTTTGAAAGTTGCAACTTAGTGAATATCTTTCCAGTATTTTCTATGACATACAGCACTTTTGATTTTTAAGCACTGCTTCACTTACTATTTAGTAGGTTCACAGTACTAGTTGGATTGACTGTAGAGTGGGTAATGATGCAACTAGACTATAAGATCCTTAAGGGGAAAGACACTTAGGGACCATATTCTACATTTAATGTATAATCTTTCAGTATCAGAACATTGTTTAGATATATTTCATTGTTTAGATATGTGATAATTTAACCAGTACTCTATTGATGAAACTTTAGAAATGTTACCAATAAAATCTGGGAAGGTTTTATTTATTTTACTAAAATACTGTACTAACTTTGCTTATTCTTCTTTGCTTTCTAGAAGAATAATTTTATTAAAATATACATGTTTAAAACTGAGATATTGCCAAAGTGCAAAAAGAGTGTAAGGGTTAAACACATTCACTATTGGGAGACTTCTTGCCCAAAGTGGTCATTATCCAACTTCATAGCATTTGCTGCTCTGTAAGGGGATTCCTACTTTAGTGTTTATTTTTACTTTTAGATGCCTTAGGCCAGATGAAAACTTTTTACATAGACACATTCTTTTATGTAGATACATCATTTATGTAGAGAGTATTTATTCCTTTGTGGCTTCAACTATATATATTCTAAAATTTGTCGTTTTTATTTTGTGTAAATTTTTGAATAGTCTGGAATTTATTTTTTGCTGTAAAGTTACTTTTTCAGGATTTTAATCTGTTCCACAAAAGATGAAATGTGGACACCTTGAACTCAAGACAGACTGGTTTTGGAATCAACGGGGCATTTCTAACATTTTGTGTATGTGCCATTTCAGATACTAGTACTGGTTGAATCCCAGCACTTCAAGGTCGCAGTCAATGATAATCACTTGTTGATGTACAATCACCGGATGAAAAATCTCAAGGATATCAAAAAATTGGTAGTTTCTGGTGACATCAGTCTCACTTCTGTTTCACACACCGACGTAACCTTAATGCAGCAATCTTTTAAAAATTAAAAAGGAATGTAAACTTTACCCATTTAAAAGTTTCATGCTCACTCTAAGTGAAAAATTTTGCCTTTATTCAATATCCTTCTTATAAATCATCCACTTAATAAATATTCTAAGAGCTAACTATGTATTTGTCATTAATCTGAGGCAGTCTTTTTTTAAAAATCAATCTTTATTGTTCATATTATTACAAAGGTTCCTCATTTCTTCCCCCCTCCACCAGGTTCCCACCCCACCCTCCACCCCTTCCCCATCCCCATTGTCCTCATCCATAGGTGCACAGTTCATATTCAGTCTCTTCCTCCCTCCCTTTCCCTGGTAGTAAATCCCTTTTCAGATAGTAAATCATTTACTTAGCATTTTCTCATATCAATAATACCTCCACATGCCCAAAGATACACTTCACACAAAAGACATTTCCAAATAGGTCAACCAACCTCATCCAGGCCCCGCACAAGGCACTCACAGATCAACACCCCAGCGCTATACTAACTCAACACATCCAGATCTAAGCCTTAATCACTTGATTCAGCAGACCCTCAATTTCCCTCAAAAGTTTCCAGCCTTGTCTGAGAGGCAGCCTTGGGGCGGGGGTAGGCGAGGAGCGAGCTGTTCCAGGCCTGGCTGCTCCGGGCCTGGCCTCTGTTGCTCTGGTCCGTTCCACAACCAGCTGCTCTGGGTCTGGCCACTGCCGCTCCCGACCTGGTTGCTCCGGGCTTGGCTACTGCTGCTCCGAGCCTGGCTACACCTAACCCGGCTGCTCCGGGCCTGGCCGCTCCCAGCCTGGCAGCTGCTGCTCCAGGCCTGGCTGCACCAGACCCGGCTGCTCCGGGCCTGGCCACTCCCAGCCTGGCAGCTGCTGCTCTGGGCCTGGCCGCTCCCAGCTTGGCAGCTGCTGCTTCGGCCCTGGCCGCTCCCAGCCTGGCAGCTGTTGCTCCGGGCCTGGCCGCACCCGACCCGGCTGCTCCGGGCCTGGCCGCTCCCAGCCTGGCAGCCGCTGCTCCAGGCCTGGCTGCACCCGACCCGGCTGCTCCGGGCCCGGCCACTCCGGGCCTGGCCGCTCCCAGTCTGGCAGCCGCTGCTCCGGGCCTGGCCGCTCCCAGCCTGGCAGCTACTGCTCCGGGCCTGGCCGCACCTGACCCGGCTGCTCTGGGCCCGGCTGCCCCGGGCCCGGCCGCTCCCGACCTGGATGCTCCGGGCTTGACTACTGCTGTTCTGGGCCTGGCTGCTCCCGACCCGGCTTCTCTGGGCCCGGCCTCTTCGGGCCCGGCCACTCCGGGTCTGGGTGTTCCTGGCCTGGCCACCCTAGGCTTGGCCGCCTCCGCCTCAGGCCTGGCTGCTCCAGGCCTGGCTGTTGCTGCTCTGGTTCTGGCTGCTGCTGCTCTGAGGCCTGGCTGTTGCTGCTCCAGGCCTGGCGGGTAGTCTATTCTTGATAATGAACATGGACTCAAGGGTAAAAGAAATATGTAGCGCCCTAACTGGTTTGGCTCAGTGAATAGAGTGTTGTCCTGAGGACTGAGGGGTCCCAGGTTTGATTCTATAGTTAAGGGCATGTACCTTGATTGCAAGCACATCCCCAGTAGGGGGTGTGCAGGAGGCACGTGATTGATGTTTCTCCCTCATCGATGTTTCTCCCTATTCCTCTCCCTACCTCTCTGTAAGAAATCAATAAAATATATTAAGAAAAAGAAATATGTAGCAAAGGGGCTATAATAGGTCCTCAATAAATGAAAATTCCCTTTTGATTTTGGAAAGTGTCTTGTTCTACCCAAGCAATTTTCTTTCATTTAGTCTTTAAGGATTTTCCTAATACCTCATAATTCTGGAGTCCAATAGCCCAAGAACACTATCTAGTTGTAGGGGACACTGATAGCTGTCAACACAAAAATCCATTCCCGATGTCCCAATAATTGTGATTTTATTCAGGTATGATCCCAGATTCAGTAGGGAATCATTAGTTTCAGTCAATCCCCCCACTCCTCAGTCTTACTGCAGAGAGACATGTGGCATTAGCTGGTCTAATTAGACCACAGAAAAGGACACAGCTCTGATTACTAGCAGCCACATTATGACCCCAAAGGACCCAGCTTCAGACACGTGCCAAGGTCAACAGAATGAAGGGGGGGGAAGGACAACAGAATGTTGGACCTTGATGTCAACACTGAACTGTTAACCTGTTAACCAGGGAGTTCCCTTTTTAATGACGTAACGGGAGCGTACTCTTTCACTAGGACGTGTCAGTACGTCACGCCCAGAGGACGTAATTTCATATTATTTTTTTTATTTATACTTAAGGAAAATATATATATTTTTTTCATTTATTTATATGTATAAAGCACAAAGGAAAATACAAAATTACAAAAAAAAAAAAAAATAGAAAAGAATACCGACAAAAAAAAACTGGACACGTCGAATTAAAAAATTACAAATTTTACAAACAATGATAAAGATTACAAAAAATAGCCGAAACGGGTTTGGCTCAGTGGATAGAGCGTCGGCCTTCGGACCTAAAGGTCCGGGGTTCGATTCCGGTCAAGGGCATGTACATTGGTTGCCGACACATCCCCAGTTGGGGGTGTGCAAAAGGTAGCTGATCAATGTTTCTCTCTCATCTCATCGATATTTCTAACTCTATCCCTCCCCTTTCCTTCCTCTCTGTAAAAAAATCAATAAAATATATATTTTTTAAAAATTACAAAAAATATATACCGTCCCTCTCGGGGCGCAACATATATTTCAAGGATGTATTCATACGCCCTACCCGTTCCCGATATTGTTTACATTTGACAGATTTATAAGTCCCGCTCGGTTAACAGGTTAATTATAAAGTACCTACAATCACCCTGACAACTTACGAAATATATTTCCTTATTGCTAAGCCAGTTTGAGTTCATTTCACTATTATATAGCAGCAAAAACTTTCTAAATGATTCACTAGTACACCTTATCAAACTTACCACCATAGATTCTAAGTCTTAGGTTACTTTGCACCAACATCTTTTACATATTCATTTTTGAGCCCTTAGAAAACTCTAACTTTTATATATACTACTTTGTTTTGCCTGTTTTACTTGAATTGTTCAATTACAGTCTGTTAATGAATAAAAGCTATTTTCATCTTTTGCTAAGACTTTAGGCATTTAGAGAATTTTTTTTTAAATATATTTTATTGATTTTTTACAGAGAAGAAGAGAGAGGGATAGAGAGTTAGAAACATCGATGAGAGAGAATCATCGATCAGCTGCCTCTTGCACACCCCCTACTGGGGATGTGCCCACAACCAAGGTACATGCTCTTGACCAGAATCGAACCTGGAACCTTTCAGTCCGCAGACCGACGCTCTATCCACTGAGCCAAACCGGTTTCGGCTAGAGAATATTCTTCTAAGTCGGCATCCCACACAGCTTCAGAATTGCTTGCATGGATTTAATAAATACTGTCTTTCCCAAAAGCCTTCCTATGACAACAAAACACCCTTCCTATGACAACAAAACAACATGTGTTTTCTTGTTTGAAAACCCCTAATCTTGGTGGGGGAGGGGGTGTTACCCATAAAGTTCTTATTTTTCAACTTGAAGGCAGAAATAACTGGGCCTGGGTCTGGGTACAAGCTTTAGCTACTCTGAATCTTCTTGGTGCTCTGCTATTCTGACAGCCCTGCCTTCTACAAATCTATGGCTAAGATTTTTATAAAAGAGATTAAGTGATTTACATAATTTTCTTTTCTTTAAAAAAAAATATCAATATATATATTTTATTGACTTTTTACAGAGAGGGAGAGGGATAGAAAGTTAGAAACATTGATGAAAGAGGAACACTGATCAGCTGCTTCCTGCACACCCCCCACTGGGGATGTGCCCGCAGCCAAGGTACATGCCCTTGACCAGAATCGAACCCGGGACCCTTGAGTCCGCAGGCCGACGCTCTACCCATTGAGCCAAACCGGTTTCGGCTGACATAATTTTCTTCAAAGGAAGAAGGAATTTCCTTCAAAGCCTGTCATTCATGTGAAGGGGAAAATGGGAAAGGCAGGAATTTAATGGGTACTTAGTTAACTATATGAAACTGTAACATGCAAACTGACAGGTGAGCCAGAAAGCTCATCCAAAGCAACTCAGTATACCCTGGAAAATCAATATGCAAAGCTGTTCAACGTTGACAAATTTAAAGTTCAAACTAAAAATAAAGTATGAAAGGATACAAATATTTCTGTCAAAGTTTAGTATTATGTTTTCATTAAGTTGAAGCTTACTCATAAGCCGAGTAAGTGTTGTTAGCTTTAAGCTTATACATCTTAAAGAAGAGAGGCAAGGCATGGTATATCTTTTATTCTGCATGGCTGTTGTAAAAAATATCCCCACTTCCCTTAGAAACAGTATCATATGTAAAACACACTTGGATGAACACTGAGTATTAAAATATTACATGACACCATATAAATGGGTTGAGTAGGAGCAAACAAAAGTACAGTCTTCAACCTTTTGGTATTCTAAGAATATACCCCACAGCATTGATAATAAGAAGGAAAATGTTTGGAATTATTTTTACATTCAAAGTTCTTCTGGTTGTTCCCCTCTGAGGGCCCTTAGCGGTGAAAAGGTAATCAGGTTACCACCAAATGAAATGTGTCTGGCATGTTCTCGATGTCTCCTCTCCACAGGAGTAAATGGATTACTGCAGTTTAGGTCCGTCTAGAGAATAAATTCAGAGAAGTCACTTAAGAAACCATTAAGAGTTTCACCAACTGACTTCAACATTGCAAGCTAATAGTAAATCAATAACATAAATAACATTTCCACATAACAATAAATAACATAATGATTGTGCAACTTTTCAGTAGGTTTAATTTCAAATAGTTTTTCATTGAAAAGGTATATTAACAATACATGCCTAAAAGGGCGATTAGTAATATGCAAATGCACTTCAGTAGCATCTGCATGATGAATACAATTGAGGCCATATCTTACACCATATGCAGATTTCACAAACCTACTCTAACCATATAA